GGGCTCAGCGGGGCGGCCAGCCGGGTGTGGGGCCCGTGGCCAGCCCCTGCGGTGCCCCCCCAGGCGCGGTGGCGGTGGCCGAGTTCATCGCTGAGAGCCCCCGCCTCCTGAGACTGGACCTTCGGGAGAACGAGATCAAGACAGGCGGGCTCATGGCACTGTCGTTGGCCCTCAAGGTGAACCACTCACTGCTGCGCCTGGACCTCGACCGTGAGCCCAAGAAGGAGGCGGTAAGCAGGGGACGGCCCTGCAGCCCTGGGGCGGGCGGGGGTCGGGTGGAAGGCCGGGTGGTGGGGCCGGCCTGAGAGCCCTAGCCAGGCGCTCCCGCCACAGGTGAAGAGCTTCATCGAGACGCAGAAGGCGTTGTTGGCCGAGATCCAGAACGGCTGCAAGCGCAACTTGGTGCTGGCGCGGGAGCGGGAGGAGAAGGAGCAGCCGCCGCAGCTGTTGGCCTCCGTGCCTGAGACCACCGCCACCGAGCCCCAGCCCGACGACGAGCCCGCTGCTGGGGTGCAGAACGGGGCCCCCAGCCCCGCACCCAGCCCGGACTCAGACTCAGACTCGGACTCGGATGGGGAGGATGAGGAGGAAGAGGAAGGGGAGAGGGATGAGACCCCCTGTCCTGCCCTGGTGCCCCCCACGGACTCCCTGGGCCCTGGGGACAGGAGTCCCCCAGGCAGCCCCTCCACACCCACTGAGCAGCGGATTTCCGTGTCCAGCCCAGGACGGGGCCACAAGGTGTTTGTGGTGACCCGGGTGGAGAGCCCACCCGAGAGGGCAGAGCCCCCTTCGTCCCCAATCCCTCCTTCTCCCCCGCCCCCTCCCTCCCCACCCGCCTCACCTTCCCTACCACCCGCCGGGGCCATTGTCACCCGGGACACAGGGTCCTCTGAGTCTCAGCAACCACCGGAGCCGCCTCAGTCAGGGCCATCGCTGCCCAACGGCCTGAAGCCCGAGTTCGCCCTGGCACTGCCCCCTGAGCCACCCCCGGGGCCTGAGGTCAAGGGGGGCAGCTGCGGCCTGGAGCACGGTGAGAGGGGCCCTAGGGCAAGTGATGAGGGGCCCTGGGTGCTGTGTGTGACCTCAGGCAAGCCTCTGTCTGTTGTGGGCCTCAGTTTCCCCTCTTTGAAATGGTTCTCGCAGGGGCCAGCACAAGTGGGGCTTGGTTTTCATGTACACCGCACTTCCCTTGGGTCCTGGGAGCTCTTCCTGGGGTGGGGCATGTAAGGTGTGTTGCCTTGAGCCTGACCATCCCAGCGGTCTCTGGGCCCTCTGCAGGCCCCGAGGGTCTGGCTGGGGACAGGTTGTATTTGCCCCACCCGCCTGACGGGGCTGCTGGCCCATCCTCCTACACAGAACTGAGCTGCTCCAAGAATGAGAAGGAGCTTGAGGAGCTGCTTCTGGAAGCCAGTCAGGAATCCGGGCAGGAGACACTGTGACACTTTAGGTGAGGCTAGGCCCGGGGCCCAGGGCACTGGGGAGGAGCTGAGAGAGTCCCCAGCTCTGACAGTCTTTCCCGCAATCTCTCCTCCCCAAGTTCCCTTTTTCCGGTCGGTCTGCGATGAGCTGAGGCCAGAGCCATGAGAATCTGCTCACCTTCCCCCCAGCCTTCCTGAGGCCCAGGATGCCAGGGGTGGGGGCCATTCTGGGACCCCCTCCCCCCACAGCAACACTACAAGGGGTGCAGGAGCTACAGGGAGCGGCCCTCCCCGTGCGACTCAGGCACTTCTGTTTATGAGCCCACCACTGGAAGACTCGGGGTGAATGGGAGGAGGGGGAGCAGGAGGAGTTCTTCAAGGACATCAGGCGCCTGTTCTGGAGGGGCCAGGCTTGCCCTGCAGAGGGCAGGGGTCCTGGGTGGTGGTGGGATGGTCCCCTGTGGCCCCGGGCACAGGGCCAAGCAGGCAGCCTGGTGCCGGAGGAGCGGTGCGTGCTGGTGGTGGTTGACACGCGCAGAACAGCCCCAGACAGTGCAGGCCGGGCAGGGTGGGGGGATGGGAGCAGAGGATCAGAGCTTTCTTTCTCAAGTGCAATAAATCTATCAGGGAGCTGGGGCAGGAGCAGCCGGCACTCCGGGACCCTGCTGTCCAGGCCACTGGAGGCTGCGCCCTGAGAGGCACTACAACCCGTTGGGGGCGGGTGGCATGGGTGTGGGAGTGGGTGAGGGTGGGCAGAGGGCTGGGGCTACTCCTGTCGGTGCAACTCTGTTCACACCTTTTCTAATAAACTGGGGCTGGGTTCACTTTGCCGGATGTCTGCTTCATGCGGATACTAGGGGTGGTTGCTGGCGGGGGGAGCTGGGTGCAGGCCATCACAGCTCCTGGTTACAGAGTGTCTGCCAGGGCTCAGGAGGCTGGCCAGGCATTACTGCATCTTCCCCCATAGTCCCGTCTTCTCTGTGTCCATGCTCCGGTGTCTTATACAGCCGCCGCCCAGCCAGGCCAGTTTATACCCATCCTTTCTGCGGGGAGAGACGGGCCCCAGATACCTCCTGGCTTCAGGTCTAGGGTCTCAGGATGCTAGATACGGAGTGGCTCTGCCCAGTTGCCCGTCGCTCAACGGGAGCAGATCCCAGCCTGTCCCCGGCAGCCCTGGGTGTCGTGCTGGTGGGAGTGTGCCCGGGGCCCAGCCAGCACCGCAGGAGGCTGTTAACAGGGTGGCTTGTTCCCCTTTGCCAGCAGGGGCCATGGTGGGCTGTTGCCCGTTTCCGAGAGGTCTGTTTTTCCCTTTAGGAAATGAGGGAGTAGGCCAGGCGTGGTGGCCCATACCTGTAATCCCAACACTTTGGGAGGCCGAGGTGGGAGGATCACTTGAACCCAGGAATTTGACACCAACCTGGGCAACATGGTGAAACCCCATCTCCATAGAAAATACAGAAATTAGCTGGGTGTGGTGGCGCATGCCTGTAGTCCCAGCCACTCAGGAAGCTGAGTCGGGAGGATCTCTTGAACCCAGGAGGTTGAGGCTGCAGTGAGGTGTGATTGCACTGCTGCATTTCAGCCTTAGCAACAGAGTAAGATCCTGTCTCAAAAAAAAAAAAATTAGAAAACAAGCATTTCTGGGCCACCCATCCCCTTTCTCGTGTGGGAGGCTGACATGGATGGAGGTGGTGTGGTGACATCACAAGAACCACAGTCGCTGGCTGGAGTCCTGGTGTCACTCAGCTCCTGCACACACCAAGGAGTCCCCTGCCCGCAGCCACCCTGGCCTCTGTGAGGAGCACCTTAGGAACCCACTGCTGGCTTGCTGTTTGGTCCCTTGCAGCTGTAAGTGTCGTCACTGCTCCCCAGGTCAGCCACGGCTAGGACTTGGGCGAAGGACTTAGGGAAGCTACACAGAACGGCCGCCAGCAGCCCGCAGCACCCTTCCCATCCCTGCACAGCCAGCCTGTCCCCAGCTCTGCTAATGTGCAGTGTGGCCATGGGTGAAGGGAAGAAGGGGCCCCTCCTGGCCATCGTGGATCCAGCCCGTCTAGGTGAGGCCAGAGCGTGTGAGGCTTTTGCTTCAAGGTACTGAAACCGTCCTTCACCTGGTTCGGGTCAGCACAGTGCCCCAAAGATCTTCAGAGGCCCTTGGTCAGTATTAGCTGTTGCTCATGGTCTCAGCCTCTGTGGAGGCAGCTGTGTTGGGGTCTCTTGGCCGTCTGCCTCCCCACCCCAGGTGGGGTTAGCTAGGAGAGGGACAGGGATCCTCTTCCCAGCCTGTCCCTTGATTTGCTTTCATTAAAGTTGAGCTTGGAGTGAGGAACTGGGCCTTTCCCGGGGCTTGAATTGTGTCTCCCACAAAAAAAAGATGTTTAAAGTCCTTACCTCCAGTACCCTAGAATGTGAGCTCACTTAGAAACAGGGTTTTTACAAAGGTACTCAAGTTAAAATGAGGACATTCGCGTGGGCCCTACTCCAGTCTGATTGGTGTCCTTATTAAAAGGGGCATTTGGGCACAGGGAGACCGCCACGTGAAGACAGAGGATGGGGTGATGCCTTTGCAAGCCAGGGAGTGTGGAGATGGCCAGCAATGCGCCAGGAGCAGGGAGCAGGCACAGAGGGCCCCCCTTCATCTGGAACTTGTCGCCTCCAGAAGCGGGAGACGATACATTTGTCCTTCAAAGGCACGTGGTCTGTCGGACTGCGTTAGAGCAGCTCTAGAAACCGCAGCCGTATCTTGACACCCCAGCCTGGTGCGCTCCTGATTTTCTGAGGGCTCCCAGATGGAGGACTGGAAGCTGAGAGGATCCTCCCTGCCGTCTTGTCTTCCCCTTCCCTTCAGCCACCCGTGTTGCCCGAGCTTGTCACATTTTGCTAGCCTTTGCTGAAGATGTAGGGGGTCTGTTTCATTCAAGATCTCAGTGTCCTAACACAGGAGATGCTTATCGTTACACGTGGATGTTCAGAGTAGCAGGCAGCTCTTCACCAAGTTATTCCTGGATCCAGGCCCCTTTGAAGCTCTTAGAGCTCTGTTGCTCCCCAGGGCCTCACGGGTCTCAGATCAAGTGGGCAGATGGGGGAAGGGAGTGGAGAAGGGAAACCTGCTCCCTAACTCATTGCTGGGAAAGGCGCACACATCAGCCGTGCTCCCGTTTTGTTGGTGACACCCGGTCCCGTGGCTTTACACAGGTGCAGGTTCTCAGAGCAGCTCCACGTGAAGATACAGTGGCCAACAGTTTGGCCACAGCTTGGTACCACATAACAGAGGCTACAGCTTTTTTTTTTTCAATCGGAGTCTCACTTTGCCACCTAGGCTGGAGTGCAGTGGCACCATCTCGCCTCACTCCAGCCACCGCCTCCCGGGTTCAAGTGATCCTCCCACCTCAGCCTCCTGAGTAGCTGGGATTACAGGTGTGCATCACCATGCCCAGCTACATTTTCTTTGTATTTTTATTAGAGACAGGGTTTCACCATGTTGGCCAGGCTGATGCAGCTTCTTACTGAGGCATGGGGGGCTTCAGTCCTGCCCCCACCTCCAGCCAAGTCTACATGTTAGCATCTCTCACAGCACCCCACTCCTGGTAACAGTGAAAATTTATTTTCAGCCTGGATTCCAGGTAGTAAGAAACAAAACCAGCTGAAACTGGCTTAGAGGAGGCTAAAGGGATATACTGACCCCAACCACACATCTACAGAAACAGACTTAACGGTGTCACAGGCCCCATGCCTCTCCCTCGGAGGCCAACTCTCCCTGACAGCTAGGAAACAGCTCCCAGGAGGTCCAGGTGTATCACCAGCTTAGCCAGGCCAGGAATGGGAAACAGCACCTCTGCTTGCTCAAGGGAAGATCCTGGAGGGCTACCACTGACCCGCATGCACCTGTGACAATTGCTGTGGCCAGAGGATTCTGGTGCTGCAGCCAGACCTGGATGCCATGCCCAGCCTTGGAGCTAAAGAACTGTGAGGTCAGTGACCCCAGTCCCATGGCCTGAGGGTGTGTGCCTTTGCAGAGCTCTCAGGTTCCTCGGGGACTGTCCCCTCTGCCAGCCTCAGGGCCCTGGCTCAGAAGCCACACCCTCAGCCTCATCCCAGGGTGTGTTCAGTGTTGGCCCTTGGAGTCCCTGCCAGCACACACTTGGAACTGGGTCAGGCACCCCAGGGCCTGAGCGTGTGGCTGAACATTTGACCAATGAGGAATCAGGAACTGCCCAGAGGAGTGACACCCACCCCAGCCCAGGGCGCTGTCCAGAGGAAAGGTGGGGAGCCCTAGTGTAACCCCCCTGGCTGGCTGTGGCTTGGGTCCTGTATGTCCCCATCTCTGCCCAACTTCCCTGTCCTCATCAAAGGGCTGATGCAGTGGCTTCAGTGTCAGTGACTAACCAGTGGTCCTTAGGTGGCCCTGGAGTGACTCGTAAGGCAGGTACCCTGTGGACAGTTATTTGAGGGAGGTTAGTGCCACCCACCCCAACTGGCTGAGGTGCCAGCGAGGTCTAATTAACCCATTACATTGAGAATGAGAGCCACCCTAGGGGTGGAGCAGCCTGCTGAGGTCACCGAGGTCACCCTCGGAAATGCCAGCTCCTGCCCTACTCACAGAGGGGCAGGCTAGGGCATGGGGACAAGGACTGGGATTCCCTGAGGCCTGGGCGCTCCATGTTGCCTGAGTCAACCCCGCCCATCCACCTGTCATCTCCCAGCTCTGCAGCCTCGTCCACCGCCCCTGCAGCCTCTCCTGCCACGGAGATGCCAGATGAGAAGGCCAGCATGGCGCAGAGGAGGAAGTGGGCTTGACAGGATGGGGCAGGCCCTGTGGCAGGACGGGGCAGGCCTGGTCCCTGGTCGGATCAGGATGCAGAGAGCAACTCGGGGCTCTCAACACCTCCATTTATTGCACGTACATCCTGAGTTCCTCATTGGTCCTTATGTGCCTGCTCTCATGCTGCCACCGGCTCGCCGCCCCACTCCTGGAGGCTCTGTCCACGGCTCTGGCTTAGATTCACCTGGGGGTGTGGCCCTCACAGGGCTCATTGGGACCCTGGGTTCAGTCCAGCCGCCTATTCCCCCATCTAGGCAGATAGAGGAACTCTTGCCTCCTGCTGCCCGCCAAGTCCTCCATTCAAGGCCCACCTGGGCTGGATTGCCCTGGACGGAAGAGCGCGCAGGCCACCGGCCATAGCTTGCCCCTGTGGGTCAAGTCCCCAGCGTGGTGGCCTTCGCTAGCTTGCCCTGCGGCACGGCCCGACGGAGGCGCCCTGGAGGTGCTGTTGGTCCGGTGGGCAGCGTGGGGGGCATCGCGGGCAGGGGACTTGGGCGGGCTGGGCGGCTTGAGCGCGCTGACGGCTCGGATGAGACCCATGCGCCGGCGGATTGAGTGGTCCAGGTTGACCGTGCAGCGCAGCAGGCTCTGCGCCTCGGCCACGGTGAAGGGGAAGTCGGCGCCCAGGAAGCGCTCGAAGAGCTCAGGGTCGCCGTCCAGGTCGAGTACGTTCTGCAACGCCTTGGTCATAGTGTGCAGCTCGCGGCTGTTGTCGCGGAACACGTCCCAGAGGCGCGCGCGGCCCTCAGGCGCGCCCCCCGTCTGCTGCCGGTCCTCCAGGCACTGCAGCGCCCAGCTCAGGCGGCACGGCCACTGGTTGGCGAGCACCACCCACGCCACCGCCTGGCGCGGCGTGGGGCCCCCGAAGTCCCCCTGCTGCTGCTGCTGCAGCAGGCGCACGGTGATGGGCACAGTGTTGACGATGCGCCGCATGGACACCACGTTGTCGGGCACGTACTCGTAGAGGCAGTCGCGCTCGTCGTGAAGGCAAAAGAGAGCCTCCTGGATGCGCCGCGCAGCCTCGGCGTCGATGCGGCTCTGCCCGCGCTCCGCCCCCGCCTGCGTCTGCGTCTGCACCGCCAGCAGCTGCGCGCTCTCGCCCCTGGCGTCCCCGGGCAGCCACGGCTTGCGCGTGATCTCGCGGTACAACAGGTCGTCGCGGCTCTGCACCGCATCGTGCAGGAACTGCAGCTTGGTGCGGCGGCCCATGATGGGCACAGAGAAGGGCAGCGTGACCGTGCGGTTGAGGAAGAGGTAGCCGTTGTCGGCCGTGCCCTTCATGTTGCCTGCGCTCTCCAGGCACGCGGCCAGGATGCTGGGGTCCACGACCAGGATGAAGATGAAGGGCGCGTGGCTGTCGGACAGCAGCGTGTTGATGGCGTTGAGCAGGCCCACCACACGGTCCGGGTAGCACGTGTCCAGCCCGGTGACCTCCAGCACCACGCGCAGCCGGCGCCGCTGGTAGACCTCCAGGAAGCACAGGAAGTCGGTGAGCAGCTCCACCTCCTTCTTCACCTCGCACATGAAGCCCAGCTGGCTGCCGAACTTTTCGCGCGACACCAGCCGCTCGATCTTCTTGCGCTGGCTTACGAACAGGTGCTTGCCCACCGAGTACACGGCCATGAGCAGCCCCGAGCCCGACAGTGTGGTGGCCGCGCCGCCGAACGCCTTGAGCAGGCTGCCGTTCGGGCTGCCGTGGCCCAGTGCGTGGCCGCCCAGCGACAGGTAGAGCAGCCCCACGCCCAGGCCCAGCGCCGCCAGCAGCCCCAGCAGCCCCAGGCACACGCGGCGCCGGCAGTGCCACTCGCTCTGGCAGCAGTCCTGCCTGGTGGCCGGCTTGTTGCCCAGCACCGAGTACACGCTGAAGGGCAGCGCGCCGTAGTGGTGGCGGATGCCCTCGCACAACGTGGTCACCAGGCCGGCCCACAGCTTGTCGGTGCCCTCATACTGCCAGGCGCTAAAGCGGATGAAAAGAAACTGCACGTTCCTGCGCCGCAGGTGCACCTCGGTGATGATGGGCTGCAGGAACACCAGGTACCACAGCAGCTGCGGGACGCCCCAGCCGCTGACGGCGCGCGGCCGCCACTGCACGTGCTGCAGCTCCTCCCTCTCACGCTGCGCCGCCTCCTGCTGCATCAGCGCTGCGGGAAGGGAGCCCGGGAGCCGCGTGAGCCGCACACCCGCCGGGGTGGGCGGGGTCTAGTACGGGCCGGGCGGAGCGCGCCTGGAGAGGCGAGGGGCGCCCAGCAGAGGCGAGGGACTGGAAGGGAGCCGCGGCCTCTCCTTAAAGAGTTGGAAGCCAGTGCACAAGCGGGGGAGTGGAGAGGCCTGGAGCCGGGCTTGGACCGGAAGCGGTCTGTAGGCCAGGCTGGGGGTCGGGATGGTTAGAGGTAGAGCCGGCAGAGGAGAGATGATGGGAGGGGGCAAAAAGAGACATGAGGAAGAGCCTGGGCTGGGTAAGGGGCTGGAGGCGGGTCGAGGTGTGGAGGGCACTGGGAAGGTTCTGAGAGTGGACCAGGGGAGAAGTGGTCGGTGTAAGGGATGAATGAATGAGATGCTGAGGACGAGCTATGCTAGGCAGCAGGATACAGCCTTGGTCTTATCTTCCAGACTTACTGCTCCTCCTGCAGGAAGCCCTCCCTGATCCCAGGCTGGGTTGAAGGCCCTCAGCCATTCCCACTCTGGGTCATCACTATCTGAAAACAAGTCCCTCTCCCTGCTGGACTGTGAGCAAGAAGGGCAGGGTCCTGCCTGTCTTGGTCACCACTGTGTCCCCTGGGCACCAGAAGGTGCTTGCGGAATGCCTGAACAATGGATCATGAGAAATCTGAGGTCACGGAGTGAATGAGCAGGAATGTCTATGGCCCCCAGCAGGAGTAGGGACTCTCTGTTCCTTATATCCCCATCTTTTCTCTTCCCGGGACCCTGTGACAACATGGGGCAGGACAGTGAGTGCTCAGTGGACAGTCAGTACAGGAACGAAAGGCTGTTGGGCCTGCACCAGGGCTGGGCACACGGAGGAGGAACATCAGTCCCAGCCCCTCTCGCCGCACATGGGGCTGAGGTCTGAGCTCCAGCAGGGCTTGATCCACATCAAAGCTACTGGGGAGGCCGGGCGCAGTGACTCATGCCTGTGATCTCAGCACTTTTTGGGAGGCTGAGGTGGGCAGATCACATGAGGTCAGGAGTTCAAGACCAGCATGGCCAATACAGTGAAACCCCATCACTACTAAAAATATAAAAATTAGCCAGGCTTGGTGGCGGACACCTGTAGTCCCAGCTACTCGGGAGGCTGAGGCAGGAGAATCGCTTGAACCCGGGAGGTGGAGGCTGCACTGAGCCAAGATTGTACCACTGCACTCCAGCCTGGGCGACAGAGTGAGACGTGTAATCCCAGCACTTTGGGAGGCTGAGATGGGTAGATCACGAGGCCAAGAGATCGAGACCATCTGGCCAACATGGTAAAACCCTGTCTCTACTAAAAATACAAAAAATTAGCCAGGCATGGTGGTGTGTGCCTGTAATCCCAGCTACTTGAGAGGCTGAGGCAGGAAAGTCGCTTGAACCCGGGAGGTGGAGGTTGTGGTGAGCCAAGATCGCACCATTGTACTCCAGCCTGGCGACAGAGCAAGATTCTGTCAAAAAAAAAAAAAATAGCTGCTGGGGAACCTGGCAGGTTCTGTTCATGTCTTCAATTATCATCTATATGTCAGGTGCCTTGTGACCACCAAGCCCTAAGAGGTGGGTCTGGGTAGCACAGAGGCCAGTAGGGGCTTGGCAGGAGCCTGCAGCCTCAATAAAGAGCCTGGGCTTTCTGCCTTGGGTACTGGGGAGCATGGAAGGCACAAGCACGGGAAGGACAGGGCCAGATCTGTCCTTCAGAGAGTCCTTGGAGTGGATCTGGTGGCGGAAGCAGGGAAGGGTACGACTTTGGGGCAGCCAGGAGGCCAGAGAAGCAAGAGCTCAGGGTAGAGGTGTGGGCTTGCGGGGGGCCTGGACTGGGGCAGGCTGACTGCAGGAGGTGGGGGATCTGGGGGAAGCCTGGAGCTGGGCGGGGACCAGAGGCCCTGTTTCTCATCCTCCCCGAAACACACACACACACAGCTCCTCACCCGTGATCTTGTCCAGCATCATGTGCAGGCGGCAGCCGAAAGGGGCGTAGAAACCCACAGTCACAGGGACCGGCACATGGCAGAGTGTCTTGGCCAGGCAGCTGCAGTAGACGTCATCCTCTGTCAGGATGTCTGGTGGTTGGGGGTGGGGACACTGAGTCAGGGCCGCTGGCCAGGCACCACCCTCCTCCCATCTGCCCTCCATGGCCCCCACTGTCAGCCCCTCCCTGGCACCCTGTGCCAAGGGGACTCAGGTCAAACCCTACAGTGGAGGTTTCCATGGCCATCAGTGGCCCCCACCTCCAGGGCGAGCTGTGCCCCTTTGGGTCCCACCAGGCTGAGGCTGGGAGGCTGGAATCCCCCCAGCCACACACCAGAGGCTGAGGCTGCGGGAAGTAAGCTTTTCTGGCCCCAGGTCACCAGGCTTGCTTGGTCACTAAGCCCGTGATTCCCCCAGGAAAATCCCAAAGGCCTTTCTTTGGGATACGAGGCCCTCGGATGCTGAGACACCACTTTCCACCATCAGCAGCACTCCAGGCCACTCCTGCCTGTTCTGCTGGGCCGGCCAGAGCATGGAGAGGCCCTGGACGGCAGGCTCCTCCCACCTTCCTGTCCATCATGCCAGCAAGTCACTAATCCCACCTGAGCCCAGGCTTCGGGGAGAGATGACCAGACTGGAGCTCCAGTCCCGGCCCCACCGCTTTTCTCTGCAGACCCCAGGGAGAGCCACCTCTGAGAGGCTCAGTTCCCTCTGAAGAGTGGGGCAGCAGAGACACTGGGGAGCAGGAATGCCAAAGGGACTGGCCAGCGCTGGGCCCTTGGTCAATGTCATGGTCTCCAGTGGCCATTTATGGCCCTGGCCACCAGGCACTGGCACTACAGCATCCACTCTGCAGAGGACACCCTGTCCCCGACTGAGGGTTGCTTCTCAGACCTGGAAATGGGGTATCAAAAACGCAGGGTTCAGTCTTGCGGGGGCACGTGGGGCCAGCCTTGTGATGCACAGTGCGGGTAACACAGCCACTTTCAGAGAGGCCTGATGGGCTGCAGGAAATGGGCCACGCCTAGCGGCAAAGCCAGGTGGCCAGGAAGCAGGCTCAGGAGTAGGTCTACTGAGGTGTGGGCCAGGTGGGTCTAATTCCAGCTCTGCCAGATCACTGGGTGGCTCCACCTCATCCACCCTCTATTTCCCTGTGTGTGAAATAGACATCATAGCCCCGAGGCTCTGGTGACAGGGCTGTGCCCGACCTAGAGTCCTGCTGAGTCCCTGTTGCTCTACTTTCAATCCAGACCTAGAAACCCAGCCGTGTCCCCACCTCTGCTGCTACCGCCCTGGCCAGGCTGCCAGCACCTCTCGCCTGGATTCTTGCAATCTCCTGCTCCCTGGGCCACCTGCTTCCGTCCTCCTCCCACAGCCCATTCTCCTGGAGATCCTGTCAGTTCATGTCCATCCTCGGCTCCAAAGCCTCCTGTGGCTCCTGCCTCCTTTAGGGCAAAAGCCGACGTGCTGGCTTCTTGCTGGCCCGGGAACACACCTCCCCAGGGCCTCTGCTCTAACACTGCCTTAATGAGGCCCAGCCTGATGACCCTATTTAATCTGGGAAACCCTGACATCCCCCATCTCCTCTCCCTGCTTTATTTTTCCCTAGTGTGGTTGTTACGGAGTGGCGTACTTTTAGAGGCAAGGTCTTGCTCTGTCACCCAGGCTGGAAGTGCAGTGGCACAATTATAGGTCATTGCAGCCTCGAACTCTGGGGCTCAAGGGATCCTGCTGCTTCAGCCTCCCATATGGCTGGGACCACAAGCATGCACCACCATGCTGGGCTAATTTTTATTTTACCTTTTGTAGATACAGGGCCTAACTACGCTGCCCAGGCTGGTCTGAACTCCTGGCCTCAAGCGATCCTCCTGCCTCAGCCTTCCAAACTACTGGTATTACAGGCATGAGCCAGTGCGCCCAGCCACACTTGTTTTTTTTTTTTTTTTGAGACAGTCTCACTCTGTTGCCCAGGCTGGAGTGCAGTGGTGTGATCTCGGCTCATTGCAACCTCCACCTCCCAGGTTCAAATGATTCTTATGCCTCAGCCTCCTGAGTAACTGGGATTATAGGTGCTGGCCACCATGCCTGGCTAATTTTTGTACTTTTAGTAGAGATGGGGTTGCACCATGTTGGCCAGGCTGGTCTCAAACCCCTGACCTCAAGTGATCCACCAGCTTCGGCCTCCCAAAGTGCTGGGATTACAGGCGTGGGCCACTGCACCCAGCCTCCCAGCCACACTTTTAAATTTCCTTGTTTCCTGTACCTGCCCCTGGCTGCAATACATGACGACAGAGATGTCTGTTGATCCTGCTCCCCACTGTGCCCCCAGAACGGCCTGGCACGCTCATGGAGTGAATGAGGGAGGGAGGGAGCAAGCAAGTGGGTCCTCCCATTGCTGACCTTTGCTCTCCGTTCCCCAGGCCACTCCCTAGCTCTGTCTCCCCCAAGCCAGAGCCGGCCAACAACTCAGGGCTCACCCTCCCTGCCCCATGTACCCTGTAGCCTGCTGGGCCAGAGGAAGGGGCTGAGAAGAGACCAGAGAACAGCCAGGGTGTTGGCAGAGGGAAAGGGGGAAGGAGAGGGAGGACTTCACTGCCTGGCCCAGGATGGCGGCACCAGGGCAGGCCTGGCCTGGAAGCCTTGGACCCCAACAGGCAAAGCAGAGGCAGCCAGCCTGAGCCCCGGTGCCAGGGACGCACCCCTCCTGGATAGGGACCAGGGTGTGGATGAAGAGGTCAGGTGCAAGATGCTAGGCAGGGAGCAAAGGGAGCAGGCGGGAAGTGAGGCGGCAGGAGCAGGGACAGAGCCCCCGAGAAGGCCAGGGTGAGCACCGGGGCTGTAGGTGAAGGAGCCACAGGCCGCTGGGGCGGGCAGAGGCCGGGCATCAGTGGGCTCGCTGGGCTCCAGGAAGATGCCAGCCGCGGAAGATAGGGCTGGGCCACTGCTGGCCATGGCTGGTGCCGTGGTGGGTAAGGGGGGCGCCTGAAGGGCGCCGGCTGGTTCCCTGGGGACGGTGGAGGTTGCAGGCAGCCCCTTCTGGGCTTCGTGAATGGGGCAGAGCCGCTGCCGAAGGGGGCTGGGAGGTGGGGGCTGGGGCTGGGGCTGCCGCTGCTGTTGCAGGACGGAGGCCGGGAGGCCCCGGCGCCAGCCACTGCCACCCACTCGGTGGCTGTGGTAGGCCAGCTGCCAGTGTGACTGGGGGGAAGGTCGACAGGGCCCGTGGGCTCGGAGGGCTGCTGAGTCCTGGCGCCACTGATGACAGCATCCTGGAAGGAAGGAAGTGGGGGTGACTGGGCCTGTGTCCCCAACCTCCGGGGGCACCGGCACAAGCCAGATCAAGTCTTCAGGTAGAACCTGGGGGCCGGAGTGTTCTTGGGAGCCCCAGAAACCCCTCAAAAAGTCAGATCGTACGCGGGGGAGGTATGGACAGGGGAGGGACCCGGGGTCTGTGCTGTCCCACAGCGGGGGAGCGGGGAAGGCGCAGGGCTTGGACTTCAGCTGGGGGCAGAGAGAGGACGCCTGAGGCTGGGGCTTCAGTGGAGGCTGGTGCCGGCCACAGCAGATTCCTGGATTCCTGGGGGGTGCCCTGAGTGCAGGGGTCAGGGAAACTGAGAGGATCCATTGGGAGCTGGCCCTGGCTGGCCCAGGGAGGCCGGAGTGATGGGTGGTTGTGTGGAGAGGGGTAGGCCAGGGATTTGGATGGGGGGTGGACCTTGTCCCCAGCTCGGGCCAGGGTGGCAGGAAGGGTGGTGACCTGGGAAGCTCCGGCCCTCACCCTGGCCCTGAGGAGGCTGAATCAGCCCCCATGGGAGGGCACTGCCCTCTGCCCCCACTAAACAAGAGCCCCGTGGTCGCCACCAGAAACTGGGCCCAGCCTCATTCAGACATGTTCACTGTGTGGGGCTCCCTCTCCTACCCCTTACTCCCAGCACACTGTTCCCCTCCAGGCTGGGGGCCGTCCACACAGGCCTGGGGGTTTGGAGAGGGGAAAGGGCAGGCCAGGTGGCCCCGGCTTCCATCTCCAGCCCAGGCTCCTATCTTCAGGCCCCCCGGCCCTGTGGTCCTAGTCCTGGGTCCTGGCCCTGCTGCTATGCAGATGCCTCTTGGGGGAGTGCAGGTGACTTTTCTCTCCTGAGGACGCGGCTCCCCTTCTGTTCCTTCATTCACTCTGGCTCCCCCACAGGCCTCTGCTGGCCATCACCCACCCCCAAACTGAACCCGTACCTTTTTGGTGCCCCAACTCTGGGTCCCAGAAGTAGTGCCCGTTGGGGCTCTGGGCGTCCTTGGCAAAGTGGACTTTGTAATGCTTGTGCATGGCAGCCGGGCAGCTGGGTGCCTCTTCCTGGGGCAGGAGGGGGCGCACAGGCTCAGCGTAGCCTCTGGGTCATGAACAGCACAGAGCTAAGGTCAGGAGCCCTGCCCTGCCCAAAAGCTCGGACAGGGGAGAGGCCAAGTCCCATATGCTGGGTTCCTAAGTCACTTGGGAGGAGGGGGCAGAGGTGGCCTTCAGGGTACAGTGAGGGGCAGGATGAAGAGGGATGGCCAGAGGAGGGAACGGAGAACTGCTGGGGGTGGCTAGGGGCTAATTTGAGGTTGCGTGTCGGGAAGCCTCTGGTAGTTTCTAAGAGGCTAGGACATTGGGGAGTGCTGAGCAGATGTGGGCTGGGGAAATAGGGGGTCCGGTGTGGTGGCTGAGTGACAAAAGCGGTCATTAAGGTGTGGGGTGCTGTGGGAGGCTGGCACGCTTTGGAAGGACATGGAGCTAGTGAGCTGAGCTGGGGAGCAGCTGAGAAGCAGGGTGAAAGTCAGAGCTGAGTACCTGTGGGGATTGAATGATACGATGGAGGGGGAATTGTGAGGGAGCAATGAAATCACGGTGGTCCAATTTGGGGAGAGGCTCAGCAAACAAGATGAGTGTACCGCGTTTCAAACGTGAAGAGCCGAAAGCAGGATGGGGAAGGATGCTGTGTAGGGGACAGGGATGGGGAAAGGCTGAGGGGCAGAGGAAACTGGGGTGCTGACGGTTGGGAGCCTGTCCACCACTCCCCACCCCCAGTCCCGGGTCCACTCGTACCTGACGGCGGCCTCACGGCCCCAGCTGCCTGCCCTGCGAACTGCTGCCGCGCCAGCCCGGACTGTCAGCACAGGCCCATCCTGATGGAGGCCCCAGCCCAGCGCCCGCCCGACCGGTTTGCCCGCCTGTCCCCGCCCCTTCCCCAGCGCCTGCCTGTCCCAGTGCTCTCTGCTCTTGAGGACTGGACTCAGTCTTGTGTCCCCGGCCCTGGTAAGGAATGGAGATGCATCCCACAGCGCTGCCTAAGTCTCCTCAAGACAGCCACGGGCCCGGGCACTTCTGCTGGTGGTTGGGGGGGGTGGACAAGGAGCTGGGATGCCAGCTCCTCCGTGGCCCAGCTATGTGACCTTGGGCAGGTGACTTCACTCTCCGAGCCTCGGCTTCCTCATTGCTGAGTGGGCACCTGCCTCTCACGGTTGCCGTGAGGGAGGCACGGGGTGGGAGTCCCCTCAGTCCAGGGCCTGGCGCGCCTGACTCGGGGCTATGCTGACCCATTCACCTGGTGCTGCTCTAAATGGACGTCCATAGGACGAAGGCAACAGCACACACATCAAGGCTGGCTGCACCCTAGCTCCATCTTCCTCTCCACCACCCAGGGGGCCAGGTGTGATGCCCGCTTCACAGATGAGGACACTGAGGCCCAGAGAAGTGAAGTCCTCTGCCCCAGGGCAACAGAGGCAGAGCAGGGATTTGAAAGCAGACAGTGATTGCTACTCCCAGGCTTGCCAAGGCTCTGTCTCCTGCCTTCGAGGGCCAGCACTCAGTGACTGTCTCCCCACAGATGCCCTCTGAGGGGTGAAGGCTGGGGAGAGGCTGGGCAGGAGACGCCCTGGAGGCCCCTCAGCCCTCTGGGGCCCTGGCTCCCTGTGGCTGCTGGCGTGACGGGGTCAACAGTTGCTTCCCTAACAGACGGGGTGCTCTGATGGGGATGGGGGAGGCAGCCCCAGAACAGTGCCCAGGACAAGATAAAGGGAGCGCACCTGGCCCTGGGTTCTGCCCAGGTAACCAAACACTGCTCCCCACGGCCAGAGCCAGGGCCCTTCCTGCTACCTGGGACCCGCTCTGTCTCTCCCCCCGACCCTTCAAGCCGGTTGCTCTGGGAAGGTTCCTCCCTGGCCCATCAGGGAGGCGGGGCTGCCATCTGAGCGTGGGCATGTCTGCAGTGGACCTCCGTGCTAACCCCCCACACCCCTGGCCGGAACATGAAGCGTGGCTCAACGTAAACGAGACATCTCCGCAGGATGAGGTTGCCCCGGGCTGGGAGCATAGCAGCCAGGAGGCTGCTGGACACTAGGGGGAGCAGGTGTTTGGGGAGCGGGCCAGGCAGGGGCAGCACGGCAGAGGCAGACACAGGACAGAGCTACACTCAGCCAGGTGGGCTGGGAAGAGGTGACCCAGGCAGTGACTGACGGGGTGACTGGACCCCACTCTACAGGGAGTTTCTTTAGCAAGGGACCCCTTTCTCATCCCATTTGGGTCTCAACCCCCAGCCTTGGTTGGCGGCTGTGAGGCTGGGGCACTTACCCACATCAGGCAGCGGATGGCGAAGCCCAGGAGTCCCCAGATGCTACAGATACGAGCAGGGTGGGGCAGCGTAAGGGCCACTCTGCCCATGGACGGGCAGCAGGAGTGCGTAGGGGCCACGCGTGTCCATGGGGGTGTCTGGCCTCCCCCTACCCCATGCATCCCCAGCCCTGGCAGCCCCAGCCTGCCCCGGCCTACGCTCCGGGCACTCCCAGCCCTGCTCCCCAGGAAGACGCTCCATTCCGTGCAGATCGCCGGGCAGAGGGCAGCCCCAGACTTGTTGACTCGGCAGAGATGCCAGCGAGGCCGCCCATGCCGGGGGCCAGCATCCCTCTGCCAGGAGCACAGGGAGGGAGGGAGCAGAGGGGGACCTGGCAGGGGAGGGAGGGTCTGAGGGGCATGGGAGCCAGAGAGGGTGCCCACTCCCCTGCAGGACCTGTGACAGTTGCTCCACAGATCCTCCCCTGCTGCTGTGAGTCAGATTCCACACACACAGCCTTTATTGAACAGCCTCTGGGCAGTGGGCAGGCAGGAATCCCACCCCAGTCCTGACCGCAGCTGGGACCCCTTTGCCTCCTGTGACACCCCCACCTCGCTTTGATACCCACTTCCTGAGTAAATGTGAACCCTAGGGCCTGGGATCCCCAGCACTAGCCCCAACACCACCCCCAAATGCAGCGGCCTGGGGCCCAATGCAGCCGCCGTCTCCTGAGGCCGGTGAGACTGGGGGCAGTAGTGCAGCTCGGCGGGTGCGGGGCAGGCTTAGGATTTCGGAATCAGCACCTGGAACTTACCTGGAAGAGAAGGCCTGGCTTAGGCTTGAGGATGGGATGGGAGAGAGGCAGAGGGCACCTAGACAGCTCTTAGGTGCTCACCCCTGTCCTGCACTAACACCCCAGTGGCTAGGTTGGGCTGTTTCCTCCCGCCCACGTGGCCGCATCCCTGGGCTGTGTGAGTAACCAGGGGCATGAGGGCCACGAATGTGGCCCCAGAGAGGCGCCCGGCACAGGCTTCTGTGGTATGCATTGCTCGGTCCTACCCCACGGGAGCCCTGGGGCCCCCCTACGAGTGGGCCTGGGGAACCAGCAGAGGGAAAATAACTGAAGGTTGGGGAGGTGGTGGGACAGGCTGTCCCCAGGCAGGAATGGGGTTCCAGCTGGTCTGACAGAGGACACCTAGTCAGGCAGGCTGCAAGTTCCTTGGAGCCTGCGGCTTGGAGCCTGCCATCCCCCGCATCGAAGGATCAGCAACGATGATCCCACCTGGGATCCCGTGCTGGGAAAAGATGTTCAAAACAGCCAGACAGTTCTCTCTGCAGGGCTAGTGACGTCATAGAGCCAGGGGCACAGATGGGCCTGCACAGGCTGTGTGGCTGAGCAGGTGACTTAAACCTGGGCCTGCCTCCCAGGCACCCACACAGGAGTGGGGCTGGAACTCTGAAGGCCTCAGCAACTCAAGGGATGAGAAGAATCCCCCCACCCCGCCATGACTCACAGACAGGCAGGGCTGCCACGGAGGCGGTGACCACACTCTCAATGCCCAGGGTACAGAGGGCGCCGCGCAGGAGGCCGCAGGTGAAGGCCAGGAACTGGGGAGGGGACACAGACAAGCATGGGAAGAGAGGGGAGGCTGGCACCGAGGTCTGGGGCACTCCTTAGGCCTGGGGAGAGGCCTGACAGGCGGTAGAGGCTGGGTAACAGGAGGAAGGGAGGTGTGGACAAGGCCCCAGCTCCCCCATACCTTGGGCGCTTCCTCCAGATACTGCAGGCCAGAGGCCATCGGAAGGAGGAGGGGGAAGCTGTTGTCTTGCAGGACATAGGTCCCCTGGGGGAGAGGAGAGGCCGGTGGGTGGGGGCGGGGCCTGCACATTTGAAGCGCAGGGAGGGGAAGCGGGAACCCAGGTCCTAGATTGGGCTGAGGTTGGGAAGTCCCCCTCCCTGAGAACCACTGGAGTCATGGCCTTGGCCTCCAGTGCTCCAGTAGGGCCCAGGGCTTCCAAACTCGGACTGGGTGCCCGTGCCCTGGGGAGTGTGGGTCCTGCCCTCATCTCCCAGGGTCGTGCAGAAAAGCTGGGGACCCAGCCCAGGAAGCTGCAGAGGGGCAGGCACAGCCTGGGTGTTCACTGGGGGACTGGACCAGCTTGGGACAAGCAGCATCGCACTGGGGGGAGGGCAGGCAGCCAGCAGGGGCTTTCTGCCCATGCGTGGCTCACTCCTGGTAGGCTGGGGAAGTTCTGGAAACACCCGCTATGCCCCAGTGCAGCCTCCTGGCTTCCCTTAGAGGATCAGACAGAGCAAGAGCTGCAGCCACCTGTGGGAAGGCTCTGGGCGGGTCCCGGCAGCCGCTGCTCTGGCGCCGGGGCTTCCCCTCCCACTCTCCTGGTCTCGCCCTCGGGAGGGAGCCGGACCGGCGGGCTGGGGCGCTCCCACCTGGTGATTGGTGCGCAGGCTGTCCATCTGTTTCTGGAACACGGCCACCCACAGGTCTTTGCACAAGAACTTGAGGACATCCAGCTCCTCCCTGAAGGCCAGCGTCTCCCGGGGCAGTCTGGTGGGGCAGTGCCACGCTGAGGCCGTGGGGCCAGGCCAGGAACAGGGAAGAAGCCAGGCCCATCTCCCACAGGGAGCAATGCAACCTCCCCGCCCAGGGCCTGCCCACCCCTGCCAGCTAGGCTCGGGGAGAGCAGGGGGCGCTGTGCTCACCTCTCGCCTAGAGCCTGGCCCACGCGGAACCCCATACTCTCCAGGACCGACAGGCTCATCTTCTGTCCCTAGAAAGCCGGGGAGAGACGCTCAGGAGCCCTTGGCCACCTCGAACCTGGGGCCACCCGGGGGGCACCTGCCAGGAGACCCGAAGACCGATTTGCCAGTGCCCATCAGTTCAGGGGTGAGCAGGGAGAGGCTCTGGCACAGCCTGGCCAGGGCAGGGGCAGGCCTCTAGGGCGCCAGGGCTCCCTCACCCACCTCTGCAGACCTCGCAGGCTCTCTGGATCCCCAGATCATCAGCCCCCAAGAACCAGCTCCTCCTTCCCCCAGGAACAATGGAGGTCTTCCCCAGGTTCCTCGCCCCCTGCATGACTCTTCCCGGTAACACCGGTCACGCGCCGCACATGCTTTCAGCACGAACCCTCACAATGCCCTGGGAAGTGGGACCTGCGACTCCACCAAGAGGCTCCAGGTGACCTGCCCAAGGGCTGGAGGCTGGGCCACAGGAAAAGGAGCTGTGGAAGTCAACCATGATCATCATGCCTTATAATATTGGCCAAGATCCCTGAGGGTACATGTGGAAGCTCGGAACAGGCAGATCTTTCTTTGGGTGCTGGGGAAGGACAGTGGCAGCCATGTAGTGTCTGGAGGGTAGGCCAGGGTCCACACAGGAGGGACTGTGCTGGCAGAGGCAGGCCCCAGGCAGGAGGGCTGCACTCGGTGTCTGTCCACGTGCCTGTGTGTGTGGATGGCATGGCTGGAAGAGATGAGGTGTCCATGGATTTTTTTTTAAGAGATGTTGTCTCGCTTTGTTGCCAGGTTGGAATGCAGTAGCCTGATCTCAACTCACTGCAACTTCCGACTCCTGGGTTCTAGCAATTCTCCTGCCTCAGCCTCCTGAGTAGCTGGGACTACAGACGCCCACCACCACGCCCGACTAATTTTTTGTATTTCAGTAGAGAAGGCGTTTCACTGTGTTGCCCAGGCTGGTCTCGAACTTCTGAACTAAGGCAATCCACCCACCTCGGCCTCCCAAAGTGCTGGGATTACAGGTGTGAGCCACTGCCCCTGGCAATTTTTCTTTTTTGGAGACAGAGTCTCACTGTTGCCCAGGCTAGAGTGCAGTGGTACACTGTTGGCTCACTGCAACCTCCGCCTCCCGTGTTCAAGCAATTCTCCTGCCTCAGCCTCCAGAGTAGCTGGGATTACAGGTGTGTGTGTGCCACCACACCTGGCTAATTTTTGTATTTTTGGTAGATATGGGGCTTCACCATGTTGGCCAGGCTGGTCTCAAACTCCTAGCCTCAAGTGATTTGCCCGCCTTGGCCTCCCAAAGTGCTGGGATTACAGGCAAGAGCCACTGCACCTGGCCATGGATTTTTTTTTTTTTTTTTTTTTTTTTTTACTCTGGTACTTTGCTGCAAGCAGAGGAAGTGGGGGGCCCAGACTGGGGGCACACCAGAAACCCCAGGATGGCTTGGGCATGAGATGCCAGGTTTCTCAGAGAAAGCCTGGCAGAGCAGAAGTGGGGGAACAGAGGAGAGGCTGGTGTGTAGCCCTGAGCTGAAGGAAGCTCACCCTCCTGCTGGTTGCTCTCAGGAGCCTGCAGTCACCTGGCCTGAGCCCTGCAGCCCTCCCTCTCCTGCCCTCGACCCCCACTGTCACTGGGGAATGGCAGCTACGGCCTCCTCCCTCCAGGGCTGCACCATCAATGCGGCCATCCGAATGGGGATGGGAATTCTCTGCTTGGCTCCAGTCCTGGAGAGGGTGTCCCAGCCTGGAGAGGGTATCCGAGGAAGGCTTCTTGCAGCCTGCTGGCCCAGCTGCCTCCATCCCTCCTTCACCCGCTCCACCCACTCAGGACACTTGCTTTCCTTGGTCGGGAAGGCTCAGACTTCTGGGCCTTTGTACTGACTTCCTTCCCTCCCTCCCTCCCTCCCAGTTTGCGTCCCCAGCACTGCCCACTGCACACTGTCACTGGATGAGGACACAGCTCTGTGAAGGTGGGGACCCAGGCTGATCAATTCACATCCGGCCTTTGGCAGCCAACACAGGGCTTGGCACGTGGGTGGTGCTTAAAAGACTGGCTGATGAGACAACATGCATCAACAAAGGACACAGTAAGTCCTCACCTAATGCTGTCAACGGGCTCTGGGAAACTACGGCTTTAAGCAAAATGACACATGATGAAACCAATTTCACACAGGTTAATTAACATAAACAAGAGCGAAGTTCCAATGCCATGTTTCTGGTACAAAAACATCACCAAACTTCTAAATAAGAATGAAAACGTAATATTAAACACTGAAATAAATGTGAGCTACACATACATTTGAGAAAGATTAGGCCGGGCGCAGTGGGTCACTCCTGTAATCCTAGCACTTTGGGAGGCCGAGGCAGGGGGATCACCTGAGGTCAGGAGTGCAAGACCAGCCTGGCCAACACGGCAAAGCCCTGTCTCTACTAAAAATACAAAAATTAGCTGGGCATGGTGGCAGGCACCTGTAATCCCAGCTACTTGGGAGGCTGAGGCAGCAGAATTGCTTGAACCCGGGAGACGGAGGTGTCAGTGAGCCAAGATCATCCCACTGCACTCCAGTCTGGGCAACAAAAGTGAGACTCTGTCTCAAAAAAATAAATAAATAAAGATTAAAACAAGTAAGATAGGCTGGGCACGGTGGCTCATGCCTGCAATCCTAGCACTTTGTGGGTCACTTCAGCCTGAGTTTTGTTTTTTTTTTTTTGAGACAGGGTCTCCCTCTGTCACCCAGGCTGGAGTGCAGTGGCGCGATCTCAGTTCACTGCAAGCTCTACCTCCCAGGTTCAAGTCATTCTCTTGCCTCAGCCTCCTGAGTAGCTGGGACCACAGGCGCCCGCCACCAAGCCCGGCTAAGTTTTTTGTATTTTTAGTAGAGACAGGGTTTTACCTTGTTTGCCAGGATGGCCTCCATCTCCTGACCTCGTGATCCACCCGCCTCGACCTCTCAAAGTGCTGGGATTACAGGCGTGGGCCACCACGCCCAGCTGAGCCCAGGAATTCGAGTCTAGCCTTGGCGACATGGCGAAACCCCTTCTCTACAAGAAATACAAAAGTTAGCTGTGCGTGGTGGCGGGCACATGTGTCCCAGCTACTTGGGAAGCTGAGGCAGGAGGATCCTAAACGCCAGCCCAGGCAACAGAGCAAGACCCTGTCTTAAAAAATAAATAAAAAACAAAAAACCAGGAAGACATTTACTCACTTCCTCCAGCTCAGGGTCCTGGGGGGCTAGAGCCTGTCCCAGCAGGGCCAAAAGCAGGAATGGACCCTGGACAGGATGCCATCCCATCACAGGGCGCACACGGGTCCGTATCACTCACGCTGGGCCCATGAAGACCCGGGAGCTCACCTAGCGGACACACCCCAAGGATGCACAAGGAAAGGAGTGCCCAGAGGAACCTGCACCAGCACAGGGAGAACCTGCAACCACCACCCAGACAGTGGTCCCGGGAATCAGTATTTTTTCCTCATCAATGTCACAACACAACGTTATTCCAGGACCGGCATACTGTGCGGCAGGCGTTTTCTACAGTCCTCTTGTTTTACCTTTCCAGCCTCACAGGTGGCTGTATTTCCAGATGGAAACTGGGGCTCCGAGGTTAAGAATCCGTCCAAGGCACCCTCAGCACAGGGCTGTCTTTCACACCCCAGCAGGTCCACATAGGAGGGTGGGTGGGGTGACAGCCATGGCTGTTGAGGGCCTCATGGAAGTGGGGTGCGCTCGGAATGGGGGAGGCGCTGAGCTGAGGTCGCCCATATCTGAAGCTAAGGTGCCCCTTCCTCTGCCTGGCCCCTTGCCAGGCCTTGTCCTCCTGGGTGACAACGACACGGCTTCCTGTTGCACTGGCTCCCTCTGGTGTCACCACCTGCTTTCCTCTGGTGTCCTTAGGCACAGCAGGGCCGGCCACACAGCAGAGGCTCAGGGAAGGGGCCGATGACTGCAGGAGAAGGGCAGGTGTGTGAGACAGACAGGGTGGGAAGAGACCCCTGCCTGTGGGTCCTTCATAGCAGCACTACCAGCAGTGCAGGTGCAGAACCACCGCCCGGGGCCAGATCCACCCCAGCACTTACCACCTGTGGGACCTGGGCCAGTGGTTGAATGTCTGTGCCTCAGTTTCCTCATGTAAAAAGGAGGGTCATTTTGTCTGTTTGTTTTTGAGACAGGGTCTCATTCTGTCACCCAGGCTGCAGTGCAATGGCACGATCTTGGCTCACTGCAGCCTCTACCTCCTGGGTTCAGGTGGTCCTCCTACCTCCGCCTCCCAAGTAGCTGGGACTACAGGTGTGAACCACCACGTCTGGCCCAAAGGAGGGGAATATTAATGGCAGCTACCTCCGGGATCCTCACCAGGAGTAAGGGTTGGTAAAGGCAACCTGAGTACTTCAAGGCAGCTCTGGTAGCCTTACTTATTGTCATTCACAGCCTCCATGTCTGTCAAACGAGGAGACGGCCCCAGCCAATGACGGATGAAGCCCTTGGCTGGAGGAAAACCCCAGGAAGGAAGGGGGTCTGTTCTGTGGGCTCCTGTAGCCAGCACCTAGAACAGCCTGGTGGCTGCGGCTCCTGTGTCACCTCCTCCTGCAGCGCAGCTCCTGGAGGTAGGGCCCAGGCTCCACTCTGACAGAACACATCTGTGTCCCTGCGCATAAGGGCACCTTCATGTCACTCTTTCGTTCATGCCACAAACATTTCTTGGTGTCCTCCAGGAGCTCACCTACCGTGCCTGGTGGGGTTGACAGGTGCCCAGATGATGCCAACTGACAATCTAGGAAGGGCTGGGAGACTGAGTGCAAGGGGCCCGGGCAGTGCCGTGCAGAGCCTGCCCTCCGGGGGGGGCCAGAGGGGGCAGGCATTCCAAGCAAAGGGCATGTGCCAAGGCAGGGGTGAGAAGCGGGAAGGGAAGGGGCCCTCAGAGTGGGCTACAGAGAGGGCATTTTCCCCTGCAGGCAAGTGCAGCCAACCCGAGGGTCAACGCAGCCCACGCTGCCTGAATGTCGGCCACAGTGGGCCACAGGCTCAGTCCCTGC